CTGGCTGGGGATCTGAACGCTCAAGTTGGAAAATTATATACTGATGAACTGCATCTGAGCGGCCAACATGGTCTAGGCTCCCGTAATGATAACGGTGAGCGGTTACTTCATTTGTGTGAAGATGCTCGCTTATTTCTTGCGAGCACTACTTTTCGACACAGCACCCGCCGGAGGGTGACTTGGCGCCCATCAGCCCCGAACCAGCTATGGACGCAAATCGATCACATTGCGATAAGTTACCGATGGAGAGGCTGCGTCCAGAACTGTCGCTCGATTTGGAGCACATGTGTGGACACCGACGATGCACTTGTATGTGCTGACCTGCGGATGCGTTTTGGCGGACGCCTATGACGATGTTGTGAGCGCATTGACACCAGCCAACTGAAGAAGCCGGCAATTCTGAATGCCTATCAAAGTACGCTTTCATGCGAGTTGAATAAGCGTTCAATGGATGCAATTGAAGGTCACTGGTCTCATATGCTTCAAACCTTGCTGGCAGCAGGCACATCCTCATGTGGTATGTCTAATCGCCAACATGAACATTGGGTCTCTTCGCAGTCTCTGGAACTTATCGATGCTCGCCGGCATATTCCGGCTGGAAGCGAACCCAAGGAAACTCGCAAAGAGCTCCGGGCAAAACTCCGTGCTAGCCTGAAGAGTGACCGCAAATCCTGCTGGTCTCATCGTACTTCAGAGATGGAAATGGCCCCTGCCGTTGGTAACCATCGTAAGTTATTCCGGCTGATACGGGAAACGGGCAGCAGGAGACCTGGTGTTAGTGAAACTCTACGTGACGAGAGTGGACAGCCTATTCATAACTTGTCAAAACGCTTGAAAGGTTGGGCTGAGCATTTGGAAGGGCAATTTAATCGGTCGGAATTGTTAGATTTCTCGCCGGCCACTGATCGTCCCGCTCCCTGGGCTGTCCCTTTGGATCCACCCTCTCGCACAGAAGTCGAACGTGAGATCGCACTGTTGAGGTTAAATAAAGCAGCGGGACCAGATGATCTTCCCATGCACCTTTCATATTCGGCGTGAATGCTCTTGTGGATGATTTACACGATTTACTATTGAAACTGTGGGAGCAGGAAACTGTCCCAACCGACTGGAGCCGCTCCGTCATAGTCCAAATTCGCAAGCGAGTCTCACAATCGGGATGCGGCAACCATAGAGGAATCAGACTGATCTCCATCGCCTCCAAATTGCTTGCCTCTGTCATCCTTCACAGACTGACTGGCGCTTTCTGTGTATTGCGGCACAGCTGAGGTGTTCCCCACCTCTAGATATCATGTACGATGATGATGATGATGATGATGATGATGATGATGATGATGATGATGATGATGATGATGATGATGATGATGATGATGATGATGATGATGATGATGATGATGATGATGATGATGATGATGATGATGATGATGATGATGATGATGATGATGATGATGATGATGATGATGATGATGATGATGATGATGATGATGATGATGATGATGATGATGATGATGATGATGATGATGATGATGATGATGATGATGATGATGATGATGATGATGATGATGATGATGATGATGATGATGATGATGATGATGATGATGATGATGATGATGATGATGATGATGATGATGATGATGATGATGATGATGATGATGATGATGATGATGATGATGATGATGATGATGATGATGATGATGATGATGATGATGATGATGATGATGATGATGATGATGATGATGATGATGATGATGATGATGATGATGATGATGATGATGATGATGATGATGATGATGATGATGATGATGATGATGATGATGATGATGATGATGATGATGATGATGATGATGATGATGATGATGATGATGATGATGATGATGATGATGATGATGATGATGATGATGATGATGATGATGATGATGATGATGATGATGATGATGATGATGATGATGATGATGATGATGATGATGATGATGATGATGATGATGATGATGATGATGATGATGATGATGATGATGATGATGATGATGATGATGATGATGATGATGATGATGATGATGATGATGATGATGATGATGATGATGATGATGATGATGATGATGATGATGATGATGATGATGATGATGATGATGATGATGATGATGATGATGATGATGATGATGATGATGATGATGACGAAAGCCATATTCGTGAAGAGCAAGCCGGGTTTCGTCGAGGTCGTGGTTGCATTGATCATATCTTCACTTTGCGTCAGTGGTTGGAGCATCGTCACATATATTGGCGGCCCACCGTTGTCGTGTTCCTCGATATCAAAGGTGCATTCGATTCGGTGGATAGACGTGCACTTTGGGACTGTCTACTCAGGAAAGGTGTACCTGAAAAATATGTAAATATTATCCGAGCATTATACGTACATAGCTCGAGCAGAGTTAGGGCTTACGGCAATCTGTCATCGCCCTTTAATATTTTCAGCGGTGTGAGATAAGGATGCCTGCTGTCACCTTTCCACTTCAATACGCTATTGACGAAGTCATGGAAATCGCGTTCACAGGGCACGACCTAGAATGTGTGTATCTGTTCCCAGCAGAACGACTTCTTGACTTGGAAAATACTGACCATATTGCCCTAATCTGTGACAGCTCCCAGACGTGCCAAACGGCAATGGACAGATTAGCACTGGCTGTCAGCGGCTTCAGGCTTCGCTTTGCACCATAGAAGTGCAAAGCGTTCCTCCAAAATTGGTCTGGACCGCCTGCTTCGCTGACCCTTGTTGGGTATCAGCTAGAAGTCGTTCAAAAATTCAACTACCTGGGGAGTTTTATTAGCGCCTGTGGGATTGAAGATGAGATCACGAACCGTATAGCAAAAGCTCGAGGCGCTTTTGCTAACCTTCGCCACTTATGGCACCGGCGCGACATCACTCTCGCCCTGAAGGGTAGAGTGTACAACGCAGCGGTACGTGACACCTGACCCCTTAGATCAGCGAACATTAGGGGGCTAGTTACGTTCGACCACCAGTGCCTTTACAATTTAGCACACGTCTGGTGGGAACACCGAGTTAGCACCGTGCGTGTTCGACGCCTTGTTTACGGTACTGGAAAAGGAAATGAACCACTCAGCACCGTTATTCCACGCTCCAAGCTCCGATGGTTCGGCCACGTGTTACGCATGTCAGTCCACGGACTCCCGCGACGTGCGTTGTTTGCTCGCCGGGGATGTGGATGGAAGAAGAGGAGGGGTGGCCGAGCGATGACTTGGTCCAGAGGAATGTAGGCCCTCACTTCTGTGCTGGCCTCGATTGGAGCGTCTCGGCTCCCTGTTTGGGGTCCGAAAGGCGATGAAAACGTTTGGCTGGATACATTTGCTGATATGGTTCGGAGCCGACCCCAGTTGCGTTCGTGCTGTGAGTTTCTTTGTCCCACCCCATCCCTGTTAGCCTCCCCCTCCAACCAGGATCTTCTTATTTAGAATTTTACCATTTTGCATAGTAAGATACTATCTTGTTGCTGCATAGTAGCCGATAGGTAGCTTACCGGAACGATGCCTATCCGTTAAAGGTAGCTCAGCTGGCTTGCACCTGTTGCATTTTATTCCCTTTTGTCTTTTAGGTATTACGGCACCGTAGCTGAGGTGTTTCCCAGCTCTAGATAACGGGTATAGCGTGTGTGAGAGAGAAAGAAGTGTTAGCCGTGTAGAAGTTCCATAAGATAGTATACCGTCGACGGTTCACGTTGGTGACTAATCACAAACCGCTTCTGGCAGTTTTTGGACCCAGAAAGGGCATTCCAGTGTATACGGTCGGTGGACTTCAGCGATGGGAAACTCTGCTCTTGGAATATGATTTCAGCATGCGGGACTTGGCTACTGATTCTACAGGGTAAGCAGACACCCCTGCCGATACCGGTAGCTCTGAGCCGGAAGGCGCAGCCATTGACTTCATCGCAACCGAAACGGATGTCAGCTACATGGTATATGAGGCCGTGAGTAACTTACCGGTCGGTAACAGGATTGTTAAGCAATCCACTGAACAGAATGCATGGCTGCAAAAAGTAGCAACCTATACAAGACAGGGATGGCCAGTTTTTCACACGACGCAACTCTTTGTCTGAAGTTGATTCCTGTCTGCTTTTTGCAGATCGCATTGTCATTCCAGAAATACTCAGATCACGCGTCTTACGGCAACTGCACAAGGGCCATCCAGGAATCGCTCGTATGAAGGCGCTTGCGCGCGGCTACGTATTTGGGCCCATGATGGATAGCCAAATTGAAGACATTGACCGATCGTGCTCTAGATGCGTCAGTGCCTCCAAGTTACCGGTACGTGCGACATTACAATCTTGGCCAAACTCAGAATCGCCCTGGTCGCGGATACACGTGGATTTCGCAGGACTAGTCGAAGGGGTGTATTTTCTCGTCATTGTTGACGCCTACAGTAAGTGTCTGGAGGTTATCGCTATGCAAAGCATGTCGGCAAACAGCACAACCATTGTGATTAGACATGTTTTCAGTCAGCACGGAGTACCAGTAACAATCGCGTCGGATAACGGGCCACAGGTTACGTCTTGCCAATTTTCTGAATTTTGCGCACATAATGGAATCGAACATGTGAGGACCGCAGTCAAAGGGCCAAGCGGGAAGATTTGTCGATACTCTGAAACGAGCATTGTTGTAGTCAAAAGAGGAGGGAACGCCATTTAATAGCCGTCTGGTAGCTTACTTGAAGGATGCCCATCCGTTACCGGTAGCTCAGCTGGCTTGCACCTGTTGCATTTTCCCTTTTTTAGGTATTACGTACAGTAGCTGAGGTGTTTCCACCTCTAGCTAACGTGTATAATGAATGAATGAACCTCCCGCTTTTGTCATCTTAACGCCTCGCTTCCATTTTCTCATGTGAATTAAATTGGACCTATCTGAAGCTGCCCTGCAAGTAATCCCATAGCATATGAATGGCATTTTACTTGCTTGACGTTTTACCGTGCATCTTCTGTTTTGTGTCACCATTTAAGTGATCTCAGCTTCTAACGATACAACGGTCAAAGTATGGAACGCGACCAAAGGGTTCTGCATGTCAACTCTGCGAACTCATAAGGATTACGTACGAGTGCTGGCGTATGCCCAACACAGGGAGGAGGTTGCGAGCGCTGGTTTGGATCACGCCATTTTTCTGTGGGACGTACGCACTCTGACCGCTCTTACTCCGACGAACAACACCGTTACAAGTAAGTGGTCACTTTTTCATCCTTCAGGCAGCACCACCTGTTTCCCCTTCAGTCGCTTGTTTAGAATTCCATCTTTCTACCTTCATTTGGTTTGTTTTCTGGTCTCCAGGTATTTCGTAAATAGACTTCAACCACTACCGCTTTTCCTTGTCCAAGAGTGCTCTCTGTAAGCCTTTAGGCTGTCACCCAGGTGCATTCTGCTTCGTTCAGTGTTAGCTTGAACGGCTAAAGTAAATGATGATGCATCAGCATGGTGCTGCTCACCTGCCGACATATTGCGGCCAGTTACCGCACATTGATCTGTTTGGATAGAGTTCAGGACGCCGTCATAAAAACCTATTTCACATCATTAAGTAACCGCAATCTCCAAACTCAGTTTTGATTGCATTCGGATGTTTTCACGCAGGCGACAAGTGGTGCACAGCTTTTCCTCCGTTATCCACTCACCAAGCAGGTAGTTCTTTTACTTCATGGGTTGAGACTAACTGCTTTAGTGTCTACCCTAACTACTAGCGAATTTGGGCCTCTCGTCACCCCAGACAGTGACGTTCTGCTTAAATTAGGATGTTCAGTCGTTGTAAATCCCAACTGTCGTGGTCGACACATCCGACTTTGGTTTTAGTGACCCTTATTCCACTGTAAAACCGGTGCTACTAGCGGGAATGTACGTTGTCATAAGCAGCTCAATATATCTGTACTATGTACTGATGCTTCATCTTCATACATCCATTCTTTGAAATGGAAGACGTTCCAGATAAGGATTTAACGGACGAACCCAAGACACAATGCTACTTTACTTGGAATACATTTATTCCCAACACGTGTACATTTTTCAGGTAGGGTGGCATGTTTGACGCAATTTCCTTTCAAATTTCACTTCCGCACTTCAAAACTGACGTTACTCTATATACGCGCCGGCAACGTGCGCATTTCGTACAGGTCTCTCTGCAAGGGATCCACTGTACGCAGATTAGCTCCAGCTGTGTCTTGCGGTGCGCTCATGTTTGGTGGCATAATCCAGATCATACTGGTGACGTTCGACGTCGCGTTTTACGAAATGCGAGTATTTCCTTCAACAAACTGATTTTGTTGCGGCATTTGAGATGGCTCGGTCACGACCTACGCATGGCACCTGAGCGTTTACCGCTTCGCAATCTATTCGCTCGTCAAGCACCTGGCTGGAGGCGACCACGTGGTGACCAGCCTTTCACTTGGCGACTCCACATGAAATCGTTGACGTCGCGTCTAGCTGTCGTTAGACCCGTACGTCTTCCAGGATGATGACCCAAGGATGAAGAGTGCCAATGGCTTAACACGCTTGAAGACATGGCCCGCAACTGGAATGAGTGGAAGCGTTGTGTGCAGACTTATATTGGTTCACATGTTTAAAATGACAAACAAAAGAGAAAAATCGGCGTGTGAACAACAAACTAAAATGTTGTGTTCTATTTGTTGTCAACTTCTACGTTCCTTTGATTCTCATGGCTCTATGTTTAGTTCTTGGCTATATGGTTGGCGGCATCCGGTTCCGGATTTGCCTATCACTGTGGTAAGCCACAGGACGCCTGCGCCTGCAGAGGGACCATGGGTGGCTTGTGCTGCACCACCCACAGCTTCGTCCACACACCCCATATGCAGTGTAAACCCGAAGGAATAAGACTGAGAGGCGTGTGGATGGGAGCCACGTTTTATCAACGGAGTCGGCCCACACTCCTTCACAGACAAACACAAGCACGCTGTATTTGGGGTATCAAGCGCACACAAGGCCGTGGCTGCACCATAGTCCGCTCCACACTGACTGCATGGAACCGCTCTTCGAGCCTAGTACGGCTAAAAGAATTGTGCACCCCGTCCCATCCAGCAACAACCAGCTGTCTCCTGGAGCCAATATGGACGAGGCAGTGGGTAATAGACAGGTAGGCACCTTGTCAACATGCACATCAGTGCAAACCGAGTATTCGTGATCGTCAGCCCGTGAGTGGCACACAGTGTAAGCAGCCTGTCACTGTTTGCATTCGCTGAACCAATGCCATGCGGACCGATGACGTCTGTCCATACCGGTGCATCACGTCCAACGCGCGCGTTGAAATCACTCAGCAGAGATAGTCGGTCGCTCCTCGGCACAGACCGTGTCACATAGGATAGCTGTGTGGAATTGATCACGCGTGTCAACGGCAACACACGGTCGGACCGTACATGTTTATAAAGGTAACAAACTTACCTCTTTCGAGTCATAGGCGTACGGTCATCAGTCGCGCGCTGATGCCAGTTGGTTCACCCACCAGCTGGCCATGGAGACGATCGGATATTGCAAATCCGACCCCATGATCACGTGGTGCTGAGGCGGTGTCGCCCACCCAGTGGAATGTGTAGCCAGCAACTGCTTCATGCAACTTACCTTGCTCAGCGAGCCGGGTTTCACTGAGCGCCGCAATATCGATGTTGTAGCGCACCAGTTCAATCGCGGCCATTGCAGTACGTCACTCGGGACGCTCAATCGAGTTCCGGTCCGATAGTGTGCGCACGTTCCAGCACCCGATGCTGAGTGCTTTGCGCGCAGGCATACGGTTGCATTGTTAGGCAATCGCACGCGCGGTGGCTTATGTGTTTCGGAGGTTTGCTTGAGGAACTCTCTCGGAGCATTTGGCTCAATAGCCTGATCCACAAGGCAGGGGGGAGCAGATCCAGCTCGGGAACGTGATTGTAGAGACAGATTGGGATCTGCTTGATGGCCGTCACACGCAGCCTTTGAAGTACTGGAACGATTTATATAGGTTTTGCGACCGTAATAGGAAACACCTGCGACCACGGCCAGACGCAGGTGGGTTTTTGGCGGGTTTGCACTAATTTGACCAGGGGCTGCCTGGCTTGGGGCGGGCAGTAGCAAATCATTGAACACCCGGTGGTGCCCTCCTGCCGTCAGAGACAATGCGTGGCGCTCGTGCTCTGCGCCAATCGAGCTGTGAGCTTATGACCCGTAAACCTGTTGTCTCCCATGCCTAGGTTTTACGGGAAGAGGGCCATGGACCACTTCCTAACCTCCGAAGACGATGGACTAGGATACTGGCAGGGCGCCCACACCTGACAGGAGAACGATTCGGGTCCTCAGCCGAAGCCTTCGATTAAATGTACACCCGAAATGCGTTGGGTCTATCACATGGTCAGTTCACTGACTCATGCGGATTTATGTCCTGGATTTTATATATATATATATATATATATATATATATATATATATATATATATCGTACATACTTGCTTGGATTCGGAAACTTAATGGCTGCTAATTAAAAATATTAACAGATGCGGCATGTGCAAAATAAAATGATGTTCCTTTCTTCCTGCGACACAGTAGTGGAAGCGTGTTACTCACCTACAACTACTGTGCCACGACGATTATGATGCGGCGACTCTGTCCCTTATCCGCTAATCTTCATGGTTTTCGTTTGCTCTGTCTTTTTACTATACTATTGTGACAACTTTATTGCGGTGTCTCGAGCCGATTACAAGTTGGATCACGTGGACCCAATTTGGTCTGCTGTCCACTGACTTTATTTCTATTTACCAAGTCAACTACTCCCCTAAACCTTGCACAATCCTTGGTTTGGTGGGCAGACTTATCTAGCGCCTGCCCAAATCAATGCACAGCTGGTGTAATATGGCTGGGGTCTTCAGCACTGTCTGAATACTACAACTTCGAGAACATCTGGCCAAACGATGATCACAAATGCAAAGTATTACTAACTTGCCGGTAACGGTTTCCTGTTACTATAACTTTACATACTGGTTCGGTATTTCATCTAAAATTTGTGTACTAGCCAGTTTTGGCTATTGGCTTCTTGAACTTCACTTAGTTTTTTACTATTCCGACATTTCCCTTCCCAAGCGTCTTCTTTCACCGATAGGAAGGATAGTATCTACAGTTTGGCTTTGAACCCATCAGGCACAGTTCTTGTGTCTGGTAGCCCGGACAAACTCATACGTGTTTGGGATCCACGTGCTTGTCACAAGCTGTTTCAACTGCGCGGTCACAGCGGGAATGTTCGCGCTCTGGTTGTCCGAAACGATGGACAGGAGGTGAGTTTTTTTTAGACACTTCTTTACCTTCATTGTGGATTCTTTTCGTTTCATCTTTGGCGCTGAGTGCATATTGGACCTCCGGGATTTATTTCCTTGTTGGGCTACGTGTGCTTGAGCATACCAAGTTCTCACAACAATTAAGTCTTAAATTTGGATGTTTGTGAGTAGGGTAAAAATTGTAGAAAGTAGAAGTCACGATTAAAATTCACGCACAATAATGTGCCTCGACGAGGAATCGAACCCCGCTCCACGAATTTCCGGTCCGCTGCTCTACCACTGAGCTACCGAGGGCTGACGATTAGGTGCGCAAATTTTATCACATGACTTCTGCTTGGTGCGCGACGTATTGCCAATGGGCTCACAGTATCTGTCCTGGTGTTGCAGATTGGCTCACTCACCCGTCACTTCCCAATGGGCTGAAGTGTCTGTCCTTCGAATGTTCAATGGGCGATAGTAGATTAAATTTGGATGTTTGTGAGTAGGGTAAAGATTGTAGAATGTAGAAGTCACGATTAAAATATCGAAGGACAGACACTTCAGCCCATTGGGAAGTGACGGGTGAGTGAGCCAGTCTGCAACACCAGGACAGCTACTGTGAGCCCATTGGCAATACGTCGCGCACCAAGCAGAAGTCATGTGTTAAAATTTGCGCACCTAATCGTCAGCCCTCGGTAGCTCAGTGGTAGAGCAGCGGACCGGAAATTTGTGAATTTTAATCGTGACTTCTACTTTCTACAATAATTACATTTTATATACATCTGGATTGGGAATCGTAGGCAAAACACTACTTTTATGTTCTTCTGATTGAGTTACCGATTACGCAGTAGCTCGCCGGCTGTTTCGGCCGTTGAGCCGTACGGCGAGCATATGCTGCGCCGTCGCGATAGGCATTCGTTTATCGATTCACTATCCTGACCGATTACGTGAACCGCGACATATGGTTACCTCAAACTATCTGAGTCTGACCTACCAATTTGTTGGTTATCATCTTTTCCTTTAAACGATACTGTAGTGCTCACGTGCTTTTGAAGCGTTCATTGTTCACTTTGACGCCACTTGGGATGCACGAGATGTTCTGTCGGTTTCCTTCGTTGACCAACCTCTATTTGGCACTACTTTATTCTTTGTGCTCGCTGGTAGCCACTTCAATATGCCCACACCAAATTGGACAGGTCAGCGCGGATTCGGATTAGTGGAATTGTATTTGCCTTGTGTCTGCTTTACATTCACTGCTTTACTTCTGAACTTCTTGGTGACTAGTCATCTTTGCAAGACTCGCTCATCTCGTCTTCTCGTTTGGGATGTCCACTCGGTTTCATGCCGCTTGGCAACTGACTCACCATCTCATGCATTCCTTACTCGAATTGTGTTTTTCTCCGCTTCACTCCTTTTGAACGCACCCACCCTTTTTACCTACTTTTCTGCAATACCCTTTGGCTTCCTATGCATTCTGTGTTTTTTCTCTCACGCCATTGGTGATTGTCTCTGGATGATTCTAACATGTGCTAACTAGCCCTTATCCGCACCGGCTCAACATTTCATGCTTCGTAGCATCGTTAACACATATACTCATTCTTATGGTCACTGCTGTCGGTCAAAAATACCAATGAAGTGTGCCTCTTCCTACCGACATAAAAATACACTCGGGTTCCTGGAGGACTACCCCTACCGAATATCTTAAAATAACGAGTCTGTCAGTTGGCGGAATCATTCCTCATTGTAGGACTTTTCTGACAGTATTCATTTGTTCACAAAACTGATGCAAATTCGATGAAGAGGTTACCCCTGGTATACACACCATTGATATTAGCGTCAGGAGTAGGACTTGAACCCCGTATGCGATCGCACAGATTGCATTTAGCTCATATGGAAGCAACGCTGTTGGCGCTACTGCATCGGTGACTCTGGCATATCGTTTTGGTTCCTTTTTCAGAGGCGTGGATGACAATCAATTTGAAAATTTTTTTTGCCGATCCACTGTTCAACAAATCAGCTGAATCTATCGCAAGCTGTGCAACTTCGTTTGCACTTAGAGTCCAGTTGTTCTCTAACCTATGTAGTTCTCGGCCTCTCTACTCGTCGATATTGCAGTCAAACTTGTGTGGCAGTTGTCTGGCATGTGATGTTTTGCATTCGTCCGATAGAAGGGCTGTTACAAGTGATTGTTTTTTCCAAAAAATCAGCTGTATATACTGCATGCAAACACCCGCTTACTCTCCATTTCATTGCGATTCACTGCAAGCTTTTCTAGCCTTATTTTCGGTTTCTTTTCACATTTCTATTATTTTTGTTCCACTGCATCCTACACGGATGCTGTTTGTTGCTCTCGGTTCAAATTTAATCGAAGGGCTCGCTTTTCCGACAGCATTGCCACCCCACTCATTGTGGTCACTTGCAATCTACATTGTTTTCCGTCCGCAGTGCGGGGATCGTTTGTCGACTAAGCATCTCAAAAGAACCGTGCGTTTCTGTTTGACATTTCTCTATCATTCTGCTTTGTTCATTTTCAGGTTGTCAGCTCCAGTTCAGATGGAACCGTGCGCGTTTGGTCACTCGGAATGCAGTGTTGCACGACCACCATTCGTGTGCACTGGCAAAGTGTTTTCACTATCCAAGCAAGTACTTCGCTTATTTTTGGACAAAGAACGGTTTATCTACAATACCCCGATTCAGTGGTCTTACATGGTGGTCTGAATAATGCTGTCTTCAAAGTGTGTTAGTGTGTCATGCTGCGCCGTGAAAATCCGCTGTTGTTTTTCCTGGTGACTTCTGTGGCTGTTTTCGAGCCTTAACTTCCACTCCAATCGATTGCGGGCCTAAGGGTTTCTGAACCTATTCGAGACTGGACCTTTGCGTGGCGCGATCGTTTGCATTTCTCCGACACATCATTCTATGCTAGGTGATACTCTTGGTCGCCTTGCTGGTTGTCATACAAGTTTGACCAGGTCAGATTAATTCAGTCTGCCAGTTCTCCAGATTTGTATTATGAGGTCAACTCCCTTCCGTACAATCCGCTCATCCTACGGACCATCGTACATTCCGCCGCTGCCCTATTGTTAACCCTTTCAGGTAGAAACTGTATACGAGGACCAGAATTGCTCCACTGCCTAGATTTGAGCTCTCTACAGTGCCAGCTCAAGTACGATCAATACCTTTGCATCGATTCATGACTCATTCTGTTGCATTCTGTAGCGGTGAAGAGAAACGAGGACAATCTATTGCTGATTCCGATCTTTTTGCTGTTCCTCTTAAATCTCTCCTGGCCCCCATTAACTTTCGTGCTGTTGTCACCAACGTTAGTCACAGCACTTACCATGTGCAACCGTCTAACCGTAGCTCTTATCATTGAAAGCCCTCCTCCTTAACCGTGTTCAACACTTACAGTCCAGGACAGTCATATCATTCGGCAGCATGTGCAGTCACGCGGGACGCTGTAAGTGCTGACATATTCCTGCGTCTCCGAAAGTAAGATTCACCGTTTCGATACGATTATCGCACTACCTGCGTATGGTTTGAATGGAATCGGTAGGTGTAGTTTTATGCTCAACGTTTCGCCTTTGACACAAAAGCTTCGTCAAGCCGAGTGAACCAGTACACGATGTATTTTTGTGTCAAAAGTGAAACGTTGCCAACAAGATATATCAACCAGTGGTTTTCCAACCCTTTTGAAATTGTGAGTTCCCGATCGGTTCCACGCATTTCCAAAAAATTTGAATAGCTGTGTATGGTTTATCGCTATTGACCGCACATATGCTGAGAAGCTGGTGCTGCAACTGCATTGGAGGCTACAAATGAATCCTCACCTGTTTACTCGGTTGTTTGGAACAACCGACTAAGTGTTTCACGTTTGAAGGCGTCATTCGATGTTAGCACAATGGACAACGTCGGATGCTACACATTTGTGCTCGCTACCTATGCTCCAAACAGCGTCATCCCTATTGCTGAAATGGTATCTTCTACAACTCGAACTGAGCATACTGTTTGATGGTACAGCTGGCTCAGATTTAGTCCCAGCTACAAGAACCGTTTAACAAAAGCTCAAGGCGCTTTTCCCAGTTCTCTCCAACTGTGACGCCTGCGCGGTATCATTCTCGCCCTATAGGTCGGAGTTTACTATGCAGTCGTCCATTCGACCCTTCTGTACGGTTAAGAAAACTGGCCTATCAGATCGACAGATATAGACTAGTTACGTTCGACCGTTGCTGCCTTCGCAGTTTAGCTCATGTCTAGCTGAAATACCGCGTGTTCGCCTTCTGTATTTGGTGCAGGAAGAACGAGTGAACCGCTCAGCGCCATTATATCACGCACCGAGTTCTGACGGCTGGACCACGTGTTGTGCATGCCAGCACGCCGATTCCTGCGACGTGCGTCATTCCCGGGGGTTTGGATGGAAAAAGAGGATTACAGGCCAAGCGATGACTTGGTCAAGAGGAATGAAGTCCCTCACTTCTAAGTTGGCGTCACTCGACTACCGGCTGGGGACTGAGGGACATTGAACACGTCTGGTTGGACACACTTGTTATGGCGAAGAGCCGACCTCAGTGGCACCTGTGTTGTGTTTTTATGTCCCTCTTCCTCCCGAACTAATTTGGAACACTGGTAGCCCGGGTCGGTTGCTCATCTGTTGATCGATTCTTCATGCTTTGGCTTCGCCCTCCTAACCACGATCTCATACCCAATGAATGATATGATATTTAGCATTACATTACTTTTCAGTTTTTGTCTTCTATAATATTTTGTGTTTTATCTTTATTGTATTGCGGAACGTTACTTGAGGCATGTTTCTCACGCCCAGCTATCGTGTATTAATGATGGTGATGATGACCAGATATGTGAATATGTAATTACCTAGTCTGGTCTCCTTCGATATTCATTCGGGTCATACACTGTGGTCGCATTCCGTGAGCAGTTGCTTCGACTGTTTTCATCGCATCAGCCGCCTTTAAAGAGCGCAACCTTTAGCCACCATTATCGACTGTGATCCACTTGGTGTCACCCGACAACCGGTCAGTTGTTAACCCAAATTACTTCGCATCACCAAGTGCTTCGGGCATCGTGACTTCTACCGCTACTCCTTTTAAGGTATTTGCTTCTGTTCTCCTCATATCCCAGTCCTCTACCGATCTTTGTCGGGAAAGCACATTTCTCAGTTGCTGAGCGAGTTGTTGCGGTCCTCAACTAGAGAATTTTACTAGTAGTATGCTCTGCGTATTATGAGTCCATCCGATTCTCCGAAGGTATCATATTTCCATGGAACGAGTTCTCCTTTGCCGTGCATAGCACAGTTGAACTTATTGCAATATTATTAGTCAGTATCGCATCGAGCACTGACTATCAGGAAGTCCCGTGAAATTTATGTAACCCAGCATGAGAATACCAAGAAAAACCAACTACATTGTGGATAAACGAGTTGACATGAACCCAAGATGGGTTCTCGAGTTGACAGGATAAACTGCCGAATCAGAAGGCACAAGAAACGGTGTATCAGAGATCACCATGCTATCTCTGCAGGTCGGTCAAGTTAATATCACTACTTGTCCCGGGAAATCGTTATTTGATTAGGCAGGCACTGAAGTCCTGATTCGCAACTGCGGACGCAGCTTTATCCTTGAATGGAACACTTTAAGATGCGGTTTTGTTGTCTTCCTGTCTCCGGGTCACTTGGCGCGTTAGCGGCGCAGTTAACCATGGGAAATTGGCATATTGCATCACTCGAATACGTGATCCGCAATACTACTGCTTCCCTCGACTATTTCTATATTGCTAATTTCAACTCTTTCACCCCACCATTACCTGAGGAAGGTGCTGAGGTCATATACAACCGAATTACGAAACTATTCCTACACAAGCTACGGATTGTCTTAGCCAACTCGAACGAATCGATCACAGTGATCAACGTATGCGCCTCCATTCTCGCTCATCAACTTACTGTGAATCTTGAATCACAATTGAAGGAAGAATTGCAGATTTTCGACTAATACGAGATTACAAAGCTCTTAGTATTTCCCATAGGGGATTTTTAACCCAACACAACGGGTCGACTGTAGCTGTACTCCTCTTTGTCCTGGTCAATAGACATTCTCGCCTGTGCACTTCCATAGCATGCGTGAACATTTTACTCTGAACACCATAGGACGCGTCAGGGTCTTTCGGTGAATTGTAGGCGCCTTTTAGACAGTGAGTGGCATCCGGTAGAGTTGTCCAACTTCCTTATTTTGTCCAACTTTATTGTGCACTCCATCATACAGCGTTTCTTTGTGCAATCTCACGATGCCTAACATCAAGATGCAATCTAAGAGAAGTCTGTTTGATTTGGTTTATGCGCACATCATCTTGTTGTTTGATAAGTGTGAAGGGGCCCAGTCACTACTTGACAAACTCATCAATTAGTTCCATCCTTCTGATATATGCACCACACCTTCACTGATGTGATATCAACCACTTGATCGCCCGGCTACCCTCGACAACTTCTCTCTACCAACAGTTCATCCATTCACCCAGCTTGGTATCTACATTGGCAACAGCGAGCTAGTGTTTGCTGGAGCCATTGCCTGTTGGGAATTTTAGGACTGTCTTTATGTATATGCGCTATCATTAGCTCTAGAATGATTTTCCAGTTAACTTAATGACTCTCGTCTGCGGGTTCACGTGGCTGTTTTTCTTTTCGGTGTTGCCAACTGATGCCTTCCATTATAAGATCTCAAACGGTTTCCGGTCTTTTATTCTCATCGATTGGGGTAATGCAAGTATCGGTGTCATCGACATTCGTACTGGTTCATAAAGATCAGATGAATACGTTGCTTGCGGTCGCAGCTTACCGTTGATAAAATTGTTTTGTCTGTTGGAGCTAAGACGGCATGGAAATCACCACTTAGTCTGTTCACAGAGAATAAAATCTTCAGCCGCTTGATGGGTTGTTGGTCTGTTTTACCTTTCCGACCGAGGTCCACAGGACAGGACAGTGGATGCTCTAATGCGGCCTTCACATTGGATCAAATGATTGTGCGAGATTGGCAGGTTGCAGACGTCTCCATTCTGAATGCGTTGGGTTTTAGCGGTCCTGTTTTAAGTATCACCCATATCCCCTTTATTTTTCATCGGTTGGACCAATGCACTCGATTAACAGTGATGCACCTGTGCTACTTATTTTTTATTATTTTCGTCGCTATTTTTAGCTTCTTTCACACCTGGTGTGATCGCCATTGCATATTGCTTATTTCTTCGATTTCTCATTGGTCTCGTGTTTTCACTGTCGCACTGCGAGTTATTTTTTTGAAGATGTCCTTGCATTTGTGTATCCCCCACACTTGAATCGCTTACCTATTTTCTGAGTCTGAAACATTTTCTTGGTCTCACAAATACAGAACTGCCGATGTTGTCTGTTTAAAATTTCCAGGTAGCCCGATACCGTGATGCTTGCTGGCTGATGTCTTTGGCACTGCAGGGCTCCTGGTTACCATGATAGTCACTCATCACAACGGTTGCAAATTTCTTGCTTGATTTTAGTGTCCATTGTGCTTTTATTTTACGGCGCGAATTCACTTTATGTTTCCACTTTCTTTTGATCAGATATAGGCTTTCGAGTTCTCATGCCTCATACAAAGTCTAGACCTTTTTCTTGTTACACGACCAACATTGCTCTTCGATATCTGGCTGGCTTCTGAGCTGTCACTGTCTGAAGCGTCCACACAAGATGCTCAGTGTTTGAGAAACGCGACCAGGAGTGACTGCATTTCAGTAGTGGTCCTTAGTTCTCTCATTGACCGACGTCTATGATGACGCACTGTTCTCCGTTTTGGGATATCCCGTTACTGACTTTGTATTACCTGTTGACTGTTTCCTGTTTTCGTTTCCCACTTACTAGATGGCCCGTGCTGTTGATGGGTCCTCGAACCTCGGCTTTCCACTAGGAGTGATTCGCTTTCCATGCTCAATATGTACTTGTTTCATGTGCCCATTCCCTTGACGCCTTACTGAGAACCGGTTCCCCTATAGGTGAACGAAGCTTGGACAACGGTGTACTCTTCGGGAAGAGATAGGAAAATTTGGGCCACCAGCTTGAGAGATACGTCCCAATCGACTCTTATCGGAGAGGAATCCGATCCCGTTCTCAAGGTGACTAAACATGGTTTTGCATTTCCCCATCCACCTTGGTCACTCATCCCCGTTAATAACAATAATTTAACCTCATTCGACTTTCATCCTCGGCTATCAAACAAGTTAAGTCAAGATAAGCTTTATGCGCCTAAGTGTGCCAATTTTTTATATATTGCAATATCGACTTTGGCTGACTAAAACGACATCATCCAAAAGGTAATTTGTTTAGGTGGGTTAAAGAGAACACAGTGCACCTCACTCGAGCTAACGGTCTCGCATCAGCAAGCAACGATAGCACCTTACTGAAGACAATCGTCGGGCTTTGATTTCTGTTGACAGGAGAAGGTCAAGGGACAGTTTTCCATTGAGAACTGTTCTTCACTTTACTGAAACATTTATTGCTAATTTGCGTGACCGAAATTAGCAACCGGCCCATTATGCGCACTATCTCGAAGTTGTTAGGCAATCGACAGAGGACATCATTATTGATCTTGGAAATAGTTTAAGAAAAGAAAATATCAATAAGCTATCAAGCAAGCTGATAAATCAGCAGTATAAGCCTAACAACAATGTCCCAGTGAAAAACGCAACGGTCAATTTAATGGCCCTGAAATCACTTTCTCTGGTGTCTCTCATAACTCCACAGCATATTCAATTGCATGATGCCATTTTTCACGCTTGTCAGCTATAGTATCCTCCTTGTTGCTTTAGGGTGTAAAGTGGTTACCTCTTTCTAAAGTTCACGTTTTCTTTTCTATCTTTGCTGAGACTGGAATCATCTGAATCTGTTATCGTCTCGTTCCACCTAACTTTATGTTACTACTACTTTCAAAGAACCATTTGACTTGGGGCCTGTAGATTGTAACCAGTTCTTTTCGATATCACGCAACTGTAGTTGAACATAACGAAATATCTGTCGGCCAAATGTGGTATCAACGGTACATCATTACTTCGTATAGACACCTCGGTCCCATTCGATCACAAGAGCCTGAGCGGACTGAAATGCTACAGTAACGCCCAAACCTATGCAGAGTTGGGACTCCAACCCGAAACGTATAGTTTGTGACTCAAATGCCTAAGCCACTACTCCGTGGATCCAACTGCTTTTTACTTACTTCCGTTATGGACTTGTTTTATCAGCTAAGGTCTGCTGCAGTCCTTTTCGGCCCGTTACCTTAAGGATCACAAGCCTGCCCTATAATCTGGGGATGCGGGTTCGAGTCTGCATAGGGGACCAGGCGACCCTCGCAGTATCCTCATCCCATCCGCGACTGGTGATGGTTGCGCGGCAGCGAAGCGTCTGTACTGCGTACCGGCGTACTGCTTATGCCTTTCTTTTCTTCTGCTGCGGTCTTTCTGCTCAACACCCACTCTACTAACTGTCTTGACTTGTTTACCTCATAATCTGCCATTCTGTTTGAGAACTTGCTATCATTCCTCCTGTGCATCTTTTTGGCCAAATGATCAGTTTCCGGTCTTATTCCATTTTCTTCTGCTCCGCCAGCTCACCACTTTTCTCACAACTCTGTTCAATTATCGCCAACCTTCCATCAATTACCACCACTGTTACTTCACCATGCATAGGCACGACGTTTTATCTAAATCTCTACATGCAGTTATCGGACTTTCGGGCCTCTCTGAGTTAAGGCGGATGTTGTTGCGTACCATTTCTTAGCTCACAATACCGACTTGTGCTCCAGTCTTTTGCAGTTAATGCCACTGTTATTGTGTTGCTTCCCGGTACGTTTGTTACTGGTTCTCCCTGACCTCCCACCGAACGGCATTGTGTGGTTCAGTGTGGCGGCACGTTCACACTTTTACCCCGATATATTTCACTGTCCTCACATTCAAATCTAACTTTCTGTGGATTCTGTCCTATGGTTAGTTTTCTGACTCATATTTTCAGCTTCTGCTTGTCGAAGGTCCTACCAAATCTCACCTGTGGGCTTCCACTTGCAGTTCCGATGTGAACCGATGGGTAAGTTAACACACTTCACATACAACAATTGTCATCCTCCGTAGACACGCTCTACGGAATGAATGCACGTTCAAGTCATTAATAAGGCTTCCGCTTTTTTTTCTCCTAGCCCATCGACTCCCCTGATGTGGCATTCTCGCAACAGTCAAGTCATAGAAATTCCGATCGTAGTTCCTTTTTTGATTCCAACGACAATGTCTCCTCTCATCGGGATCCTTCCTTTCTGAATGCCGAACTCGCGACTGTCTCGCATGGTGCACTGACACCAGCTAACGGGGATTCGGAAGACCGTATATCTCCCTTATTGAGGCCTGATTTGATCATACAGGGTAGGTGTCTACGATGTCTTATGCAATTTTTGGTGCTCTGGCGATATCCCAGTTTGCGTACGATTGCTTAGGATTGTTTGGTAGTCTGTTGTTGGCTCAAGGTACTTGTGCACAACTGTCGCTTGACGGAGTAGTAGTAGTAGGGGAGTTGAATTGTATGGATAGCATTTCGTCACATCTCGACTCACTCAGACAGCCGCCACACGCCCAGAAAAGCACTGTACGCGTTTCATCCTTTCGGGAATCATCAGCAGTGCGCATTCCATCGGACCCCTTTTCGGGCTCGAACCCGCAACTCGACTGTTGCCAGTCCGTAGATGAGACCACTGAGCTACGGGGGACGGCAACGACCATCGTGAATAAGTTACTAGATGTGATATAGCGCCGCTCACTATCCACTGACTTACACGTAACTGCCGTGCAGACGACAGGGCAGCCCCCTCACCAAGTTAATTGGCGGCTTAAGTTTGGTAAGCGCGTCGCTTGTTGGGGGGTGGGCTACCCTGTCCTCTGCACAGCAGTAACGTGTAAGTCAGTGGATAGTGAGCGGCGCTATATCACATCTAGTAACTTATTCACGATGGTCGTTGCCGTCCCCCGTAGCTCAGTGGTCTCAACCACGGACTGGCAACAGTCGAGATGCGGGTTCGAGCTCTACCAGGGGTCTGATAGGATGCGCACTGCGGATGATTCCCGAAAGGATGAAACGCGTACAGTGCTTTTCCGGGTGTGTGGCGGCTGTCTGAGTGAGTCTAGATGTGACGAAATTCTACCTATACCATTCAACTCCCTCTACTACTCTTCTGTATGAAAATACTTTCCTGTATCAAACTGTCTGATATCTCTGGATGGCCTTTGGGGCTCACATCAACATGCGTTTACTGCACAACTAAATTATTCCCAACTACGGCAAGGAGATGTTAACGAATTTATAACCTTCATACAACGGTCCCGGCCTGATTACCGTTATAATCATTTTCCGTCCATGAAATTTGAAGTGATCACGTCTATCCAATGTCATATGGTTGGCAGTCGCGATAACAAGGCCCGAGAATGCTTACTACTAGAAGACGAGGATAAGCTTACTCGGGAAGGTGCGTGCACATCGGTGAGGCGAAGAGAAAATGTGGTTCAACAATTAATTCACTACCAACACGAGCACTCCTCAGCTGTACTCCACGCGATCAAACCTCCATTGTCACCGATAAACACACGATCGTTTATGTGTTACAGGTCTGGCAAAAAACATGTATAACTGTAAGTATAACCATCTACTTGGCATAAGTGTGACAATGTCGGACATCTTGCGCGTGTTTGCCGATCAACAGTGCTTCCACCTCGTGTATTCTACCTTCCACAAAATACTGTACGGACAGTAGAGAATTCCGATGAGTCTATATCCTACTTGCTCTCAAATACGACCACATCGCGTGTGCGCGAAATACCTCCATACACTGTGGAACTGGAGATTGAAGGCCAACCTGTGCGCCCAGAAATGGATACGGGGGCCTCGGTTACGTAAGTCAACAACCGCACACCGCCCGACCCAGTCTACTTTACGTTCTTATACTGGTGAATCGCTCAACGTACTGGGGATGTGTAAAGTAAGGGTTACACGTGGGATTGTTGTAAACACTGCTGTCCCGAACTTGCTTGGTAGAAACTGGCTCAAACATATACTGGAACTACTACAAACCGTCAAAATGTGGACCATATTCCAAACCTTCTTCCATCCTTGAGAACGTACGTTTGTGTGTTTGATGAAACATCACTCGGCAAACTAGGTGACTACAAATTTTTTTTCAATATCAGACCAAACGCCCAGTCGGAATTTTTCAAAGCAAGATGCTTACGTTTTGCTATCCGTCCGAAAGTTGAGTTACACCTGGAGCGCCTGCAGAAAGATGAAACATTATGGCCCACGCTAATTGTTTTAGTACAAAACCCGATGGGACCGTCCGTATCTATAGTGACTACAGGTTGGCTGTTGACCAAGCGGGGACATCCGAACACTACCCTATTCCACGGGTAAATGACCCATATGCTACTCTACCAAGTGGCCAGAAGTTTTCCAAACTTACACCCAAGTAGAGCTGCATGACTCCGCCAGTTAGATATATGCTTGGCGGCATCCGGTTCCGGATTTGCCTGTCACTGTGGCCAGCCACAGGACGCCCGCTCCTACTGAGGCATCATGAGTGGCTTGTGCTGCACCACCCACAGCTTCGTGCACACACCCCCATATGCAGTGTAAACCCGAAGGAATAAGACCGGGAGGCAGGTGGATGGGAGCCACGTTTTATCAACGGAGTCGGCCCACACTCATACACAGGCAAACACAATCACGCTGTAGTTGGGAATCAAGCGCATACAAGGCCGTGACTGGACGGTAGTCCGCTCCACACTGAGTGCTTGGAACCACTCTTTGAGCCTAGGACGGCCACAAGGACCGTGCATCCCGTCCCCTCTAGCAACGACCAACTGTCTCCTGGAGCCAGTATGGACGAGATAGTGAGTAATGAATAGGTAGGCACCTTGTCAACATGCACATCAAGCTCAGCCACACCGGGGATGTCAAGCAACAGCCAATCACTTGAAATGACAATGGTAAATGAAATAGATCATAAACACCATACTGATATGCCGACATAACTCTTCGCTAAATTAGCATATAAAATAATTGGGTTATCAACATTTCCGCGACGAATTTCATCTGGCAGAACAAGCGCAAAAAATCGTATGCAACAAGCTAGAAAAAGTAAATGAACTTAACCACCGTTTGTTTAAGCGACATTTGCTAGTACATAGGAGAATATTCAGGAAGACATTAAGATGACTTTGCAAAATAAGCATTAAGACAATATAGCGAACCAATCACATGAAATAAGCAAACTCAACACGCGGTAAGTAAATCGAATGAAAGCGCATGCAACGTACCTACAAACGCTGCGCCGATTCTGCTTACGTACTTAGCAGGACCCGTCGTCGTTTGGATGCTGGTCCCGAGTGGCCTCGCTTGTGATTCACTTGACCTGCCTGACTCAGGCACTCGCGACCGCATGTGCTACAGCACCATGCGTTCGACGTCGATAGAGTACATTCCATCGGTGCCTGTCGATTCCGCACCTGCCGCTGCTTCTCCGCATGCACGAGGGCTTTCTCTTGCACCTCGGCAACTGCCTTCGTGATCAGATCGCGCCATGCACACCAATCAACCGCCTTCGATTTCCACCACTTGTAATCAACCTTACTACGTGATAAGCTCACCTTGATCATGTCCTGGTAACGAAACTTGGGTTTCCCCATGTGCCGCTTCCCAACACTCAGCTGACCATATAACAACCCCTACGGTATCTACGTGCAATCTGTACGGCATTGATATATATATATATATATATATATATATATATATACATATATATATATATGTATATATATATATATATATAATTTGGCGGCGTCCGTATCCGGATTTGCCTGCCACTGTGACGTCCATGGGGACAGTCACAGGACGCCTGCGCCTACAAAGGTGACCATGGGTGGCTTGCGCTGCACCACCCATAGTTCCACCCACACACCCCATATCCGGTGTAAACCCGAAGGAATAAGACCGGGAGGCATGCGGATGGGAGCCAAGTTTCATCAACGGAGCCGGCCCACACTCCTTCAACAAGCAGAACGGAAGCATTCCGGCCTAATTGGGAAATCATACACACCAGACGTACACGAGGCGGTGGCTGGACCGTAGCCCGTTCCACGCAGGATGAAATCACTCTTTGAGCCTAACACCGTCACGAGGACGGTGCACTCCTTCTCCTCCAGCGACGACCAACTGTCTCCTGGAGTCAGTATGGACGAGGTAGTGGGTAATAGACAGGTAGGCACCTTGTCAACATTCACATCAGGCGCATCCACACCGGGGAGCTCAAGCAACATCTACTTCTGAAATGCAAGATTACTCATCACGCAGACAAACGCACCACATACGCCGCCTTATTGGCCTGGATTAGTAAATTGATTGGGAACATACTCATGGTACTTCTAGTCCGTATAGAATAGTGCCTTCTCCGGCACCTGAGAAACCGCCCTTTTGAGCAGTCCACAGAATTCACGTCGATCATATTTGCCTTGGATTCGCAACACCTGAAATCAACATGAGTTTGTCATAAACTCACCTACTTCATGTGCTGGTAACGTTATTTTCGGTTTGCTGGAATGTCGTTTTACTATATATATATATATATATATATATATATATATATATATATATATATATATATATATATATATATATATCCATTATGCCTCATGCTGAGATTAATGTTGCACATATCATGCCTCTTCACCGCTGTTGTTCCACACTGAATACACTAGATTTGCTTAACTTGGAAATATAGTCTTCCTCTTTATTTGATTTGCTTAGTTCTGTTATTCTGCTACATATCCTGTGTCAATTTTGCGCATTTATTTTTTCGAATTCTGTGTTGCTTGTTTGATATCTCCGGTGTGACTGCTTTACGTGAATCTTGACAAGGTGCCTATCTGTCTAACACTCTCCACTTTGATTCCTGGCTCCAGGCGGCTGTGAATCGCTGCTGGAGGGGATGGGATGCACGGTCCTCATGGCCATGCTATGCTCAAGGATTGGTTCCATCCAATGTGGAACGGACTCCGGCCCATTCTCCGCCTTGTGTACGTCTGATACGCATGACTTCTTATTTAGATAAACAGGAATACTGCTTCTCTGCATGTTTGTGGCGTGTGGGCCGGCTCCCATCCACCTGTCTCCCGGTCTTGTTCCTTCGGGTTTACACTGGATATGGAGTCTGTGGATAGAGCTATGGGTGATGCAGCGCAAGCCACCCATGGTCCCTCTGTAGCCGCAGGCATCCTATGACTTTATGCTACAACACATACGAAAAAAACCGTAGATTGAAAGCGAAAACGACAGAGCAGATGAGTGTTACAGTAATTGCGTGCGGTCCTTGGTCATGTCCAGT